AGTTGAACGGCTACACCTAAAATACGACTAATGCTACTTGGCCTACATATATAATTTACTGCATAACTATATGCAGTAAACCTGGGTACAGTCCTAATATGCACTATTTAGACTTTTAAAGAGACTATAATTAGGTTAAAAGTTAATCGGCCAGTATTCCTGGAGGGGATACTTATTTTACGCACTTGACTAACTCATCATACTGTACTTTGTGTATATCGATAACCTCAAAATCGAAACGGCCAGTATCTTCAACTCGTAGAATATCACAGTGGTCATACTTTATGTAGAATTCTATTGTACTGTACTATCTAGACTCCAAAATGCTAGCATCATTATAAGCCGTATACAGTTAAAAGACCGAACAAATTGCCGTTACTACGTGGAAAGAGTTTCTTTGCAACATTTTAGATGGGCCATAAACGCTGTATGCGTCGATACTAATGTAATACTATTCCAAGAGACTGCAATTGAACACAACTAGCTTCGTCATACTCGTCGTAAAACGGGAATGCAGTCTAAATTTCATTGCGGTGGGAAATATCCGATGTCAGAATGCGTTCCCTTCTACAAACTATTCGCTATATAAACCTATTAGGCGTATTAATAAATCATACAAAATCTTAAATACAACATCCAATTTTCACAATACCTTGCTAATTTTAACCTCAGCCTAATTCCAATAACAATTGGACTGTACAAGTGCACAATAATTTCGTCATTTCATCAACTTAGACAATCGACAACAGAAAAAATTCATCAATACCATCGTAATTTATTTGTTAGCACATCATAAATGAATACTGCTGTTAATAAAAGAATTCATGCTAAAAGCTTAAGCTTAATCAAGACAGTAGAACGTCGTACTATAAAAAATGCTGAGATACGTACAAACGATCTCAAGTAGCAATTCATTTCGCTAGACGTATTCGCTTTGAAATAGTGTTATTATAACTGTACGTAGAGCGCAATAGAATCGAGCCGAACACACGTTAATAATAAAATAGAGCAGCTGATATTAAATTGAATACTCTATATCTTCTTCTGTATAAATGATAAAATATTTTTCCCCTTTCAAAATGATCCAATACTTTGTTAATCACGTACAGCAATCAAATTCGAAGCCATCGCAATTGATAAAGAATAGAGATATAGTACTATTGGCATGCTGTATAACGCAACTTCAAAATAGAATAAATATATAAATAATAACAATAATAAGCCCTTGTCGATAGCAGTACAAATTTTATAGTGAGCTCTATGGTTAGCTTTGTTTTTAGCTATAGTAACTATAATGATGGAATTCATAGTTGATAGCTCAATTTCAAAGTAGAAAACTAGCATTGAGTATTACGACCAAGTGTACCGCATAAGAAAGAAATGGGATACAGCATATTATATCTATTCATTGGGATGTAAATAATTGAAATACTTATAAATTGACATCGATCTTTCTCTATTAAAATGGATCATACACGTATGATCTCAAATTAGAATTATTTAACTCCAATATGCCTACAAGCACATACACAATATTATGCGCGCATTTTAATATCGACGAGTATAATCCGTCTAGCCAGATGCCAAACAAGCTAAGTGACACGCAAAATCTTCCCTTCCTTTAGGACTGCAATTATCAAAATTGTCGTATATCGTCATAACATAAAAGATAGACAGATCGACTGACAATATCTATAAAATTGTTGACAATTCATTACAGATGTATCGATTGATCTACTTTACAAGCAAAAGTCAAATTAGCATCTAATGTGAAATACTAGAGGCGAGGCGCAGCAATTTATTTTGCTCATGATAGGAGGATAATAACTCATCCTCTAAATGATGAACGGTCTTGACTAAGGCAAGCTGTTCATCTCGCTTTGCTTTGAGTGCACTTTGTGTTACCTTTAGTAAATGAAAGAGGCGTTCGTTGTCTTCTTTTAATCGATCGAGAGGAGATTTTATAATTGAATTTTCCCCCGATCGCGATAGTGGAGCGTCGGCATAAGGATCACCTAACGTTCTTCCTATTCGCTTTGGTAATGTATCCTTTGATTCACTCAACGGAGCATCGGAATAGACTAAATCTCTTATTTCACTAGTATAATCAATTTCATCGTGCTGATCGTCGTCACTGCTACTAGCTTGTGTAGTCCGTTGGATTTCTTCAAAGTCTCTGTTATCAACAATTTGCTTAATATCTTCCTCAAAAATGCTACTCGATCTATACATTGCAGTCTCACGAATTAACATTTGAACAGGCAAAATGTTCAAGCCAAGGCTGACTAAATCAGAGTTATCATTCAAAATACTAATTAACGAATGGTATATCTCAAAAATAAATGCCATCCCCGGCTTTACTGTATCAACAGTGTCGTCTAAGAAAAATCGATTCATATTTGTTAAATTCGTGGCCATAAGATTTCCGTAAATACCATTCAACTTCATATGAGCAAAGATACTACCATTCGAAAGAGTGATACGACCCCTAACCTGGGAATCGAACAAATGCTGACTGTGCTTTAATGGAGGAGTGATTACTCGAGCTTTACGACCGACAAAATGAGCAAGATCAACGTTGCCCATTTCTCGAACTGTTCCGTACCTGGAAGTAACTTTCATTATCATTTCTGAACCCAAAATTTGAATGCCTAAATCAAGCTGCTGCAATTTTATCATAACAATACAGACTTCTGTATGGGTATCATCAGGCGATCCGTAAAATAAATTCACATTTCGCAATCTTTCTAGTTGTTCACTAGTAAGTTGGACATCACTGTAATCAACTTTATCATATTCAACCGAATTTATGTCATCCATTGCCTGATTATGACAACTGCTGTCTTCGTCATCAGATATATATTCATTTATTTCTTCGGTATTACGGATGTCAATTAAAGCAGTTACAGGCTTGATATCTAATTCCGCAATAGCTGCAGCAACAGTAGTTACCCCAATGGCACTGGAAAGCAATCCAATATTGCTCAGAGTGGATGCTAACAGTCCTGACGTAGAGGTATTTGTCTCAGCGGGTATATTCTTCTTTGCACGAGTATCTAATCTTTCCGAAACTTTTTTTGAAGTCTTAGCTAAAACGTCAGAAAGACTTGTTGTTGACGGATGAGTTTTGGGCTTACCAAGTATTTTGTTACTTTGAATTGTAGGTGAATTACTTATATATTCGGTAATAGCGTCTTTACCTTGATCGATATCGTCTTCAATAACCACGTCTTCATTAGAATCATCCAAAAGATTAAATTCTTCATTAATATCATCAAAGTTTTGCGAATCAGATAAATTATTAATTTCACCGGTATTATCATCTGTATTTTGATCATCATTTAAGCATAATTCACAAGAATCGCTATAAGGAGACCGTGGTAAAAGTAGCCCAAGTTCTAGCTCGCTAATAAGTAAAGCGAAGGAAAGCTTTAAACCTGTCTTCTGAGATGACGTATCTGGACTTGATCCAAGATCTCTATTAAGTTGCATGAGTGATGCCTGCAACCGTAGAATAAATAAGTATTCCATGTGGTTCAAGACAATATTTAATTTATTTTTCATATCAACCAAAATACTTAAGTCAGGGTTAGTCACAAGCTCTTGACTGTTCCCAGAGCTTTCCAATACTTGATCATCTTTATTTAATTCCTTGTACGAATAAATCCATAGCGAAATAGGCATAGGTTCCATAAAGGTCGATAACTCATCATCTAATACGAAATCAATACTAACTCGCTTACAGTCAACCTGCCATGATGGGCATTTTGCGTTGTAAATCCATTCCAGTTCTGTATCAGACGTACTATCTTTATAACTAAGTACGTCAGGTATCAATCGTAAATCCTCTGTTTTGTTAGGGAACGAAGTACCTTTAAAGAACTTTTTAGACAAATAAAATTTTGATAGCTTGTACGTATCATGAGCAATCCTGTTGAAGATAGAGTTTGTTATATTGATTTGCGATACTCGGACTCTAAGAGCACTAGGAACATTATGCAATTCAGCAAGTTTTAATTTCTCCTTGATCGGCAAGTCTATCGTTAGCTAAAATTTAGATGAAATATGAGTACTTGTTGTTAACGATAAAGTGCAAGTAATAGATAACAGTTAAGATAGAAAATTGAGTAAGATTTCCATTTGAGAGATATCAGCTGAGTAAAGAAGAATGGTTACTAATCTCACATACCGTCGTCGTCTTCATGTCAATCTTTATATCCATACTTTCATCTTTTTTCTCTTGTTGCTTCGAAAGTTTCGTTGATTCCTAGTCAAGTATGTAGATATATTTATAAAGATTTATTGAATCCCAATATTACACTATAAACTTATCAAGAATAAGCATATAATAGTGTTACAGAAAGAGAGAGGGCAAGATAATTACCCAACTAGAGAAGACATTAGTTACGAAAGCATTGGCCCATAAAATAGTGGTATCCACGATAGTGCATTGTATATTGGTGGTAGAAACGAATAAATTTGAATTCGGTAGCTCTAATTCTAGTACAAAAATATTTTAAAGGCATTGAAACTGCATTAGACGACGTAATTATTGCACCAAAATCAGAACTGTAGTATATGGTTACTTTAAAGCTAGTCTTATATTCAAAAATTCTTTTTAATTTCTGTTTCGATTTCCAGCTAATACTAACTAGATTTCATTTTCTCCTGGATGCTCATGTAGTTATAGAAGTAAAATGTGTGATCAATGCTCAATGCAGGATATATCTTCAAAGTTCTTTCCGAAGATAACAGAGGTTTTATCTTATCTTTACCATCGCCATCATTATCGTCAGTAAAGCTCCTAAGCTGGCTAATGGTTATATCTTGCAACCTACATTTAGCCAATTATAGATGTTAAACTCTTCTAAAGGCATCAATAGACGTCAATGTCTCCAACATATATGTTTTCTAAGATAGAGATCAATCTGTTGCATAGTATTATTTCTATAATTTATGCAAGTGATCGAAAATAAACTGTAGACAACAATAATCGATATTTACCTCATGAGCAAAGCACCCTCGAATAAAAATTTTTTGTATCCATTAAGATGAGGGTTATTGTCAAAAAATGATGTTAGTAGCTGATGACTCCATGTACTTCGCGACAAACTTATATTATCATGTTTTTGCCAATGTTGCCTTGTTGCTCCAGCGATATGTTCAGGATAGTAATCCAATGATAATCTATCAAGTAATACCTGCATCGTGCTACTATCTCTCCTACTAAAATAAGCATTATTAAAGAATTATAGATCCACGTATACCAAGGTTATAAGCATGTCAATAGTCGATCTTGTTAGAAGATTTTAAGCAGTTAATAAAATCTTACAATTAAAGTACCTTTGTAAACCTCCACAAAAGTGAAAGTCTATCCTGGAAGTGACAATATGAAACGATGTCTCTAAAACATTATAACGCCAAAATAGCCGATCGATCGGTTTATCGCTCATATTGACAGGGCTTTGGGCGTATGGGGTTTCCAGATCGTATTTCATGGGATTCTTTTCAGAATTTGTAGACCCAGTAGTTTGCTTATCATCTTTCGTAGTATTTCTAGTGTGTTCATGAGATTGGCGCATAATATCCACAACAGATTTAACAAAGGCGACAGAAGCTTTCAATTGTTTCTCACTCAAAACCCACAATATATCATCAAGAACAAGTTCTAATTTACCACAAATAATTCCAGAATCGCTTATTCTCTTTTTCACAGTAATCTTCAGACTAGAATGGCTGGTAATTAATCGTAATGGAGTAGGTTTATCTTCACAGCCAGCAGTAACCGATGCTTCTAGCTTTATAGCAGATAGCAAAACTTCCTTAAAAAATATTACTTGATCGCTCTTATCATGTACAATCCGTGTTGATCTTAGATCGGCAACCTGCCACAATGGATTGGTACTCCTTAATTGAATTCTTGAGGCATGTAAAAGTGCTTGAAATCCAGGTGATCCAAATTTAATGTCGACAGAATTGATACTAAAACATATACTATCGATAACTTTGTCGATAAAGCCATATTTCGTTGATGTTCTGTAACAATGGAGCATTAAATAAAATGAGTTTAATATCCAACAATCGTGCTTCAATTGTGTACCCGTTATTTATTTTATTACACACTCAAAGTTACTAACGATTTTGATCCGCTGGAGGTAGACGTATTGGCTAACTGGACACTACTATTTGGTTTATCATTTGGTCCAATAGCACTGATTTCCACGTAGATTGCATCAAATTTCTATGTTTTAATTATGAAAACAGTTAAAGAGAACAATTTTATATATCTAGCTTGTCTACTGTGGATTTATTCACCATTTTATACAGTGAGAATTTAAGCACCTTTCTCTCTATCTACGGGTCTGTCACCAATACTAAAGTGATAGGTGTGAATCGTGTAATGATACATTAAGCAATGGAGCGATCTAGATAAAATGCTCTCGAAATATTTTACCATACTTGTGATTGTATAGTGAGAGTGTGAACATTACTAATTGATCATCATTGGCAGTGCCCATTTTGCTAAGGTACAGCATCACTATAATCTCCAACTACCTGCACTAATATATAATTTTAATTTCAAAGGCCTGGTTGCAAGTACTAGATGAGGATAAAATTTTGCAAAACTTGATGCACAGGTGAATTTAGGCCACAAATAAAATGTTATTTCTACGCAGTAACGGCCAAGCAAGGGGCACAAATCTTCCCGATCGATCAAATTTGAAGAAGTGATTACTCTGGTCTTACTGTCTATCATATGATCGTTGTCAACAAATACAGCAAAACAAATATTGTTAAATATTGTATAGCTGCACGATATACGTATCGGTATTAAAATGAGATTTTAGTGTTGGTGTCAGAAAGGGAAGGCAACTAACTACGTCGATTTTGATACCGACAACTTCATTTCTTACTCCATCTCTTATCTGTCTATCTATCTATTCTTGATCGTTCACGAGGAAGGGTGGTTGGAAGTGTAATTACATCTGAGGAATGTATCTATTTATAAGCAAAATCAATTTGCATAACCAAACTCCCTCACTCATGTGTGTTTAAACTTAAAAATCATCTCTCAATATCTTTCCGAGTTGTACTAATTTATAATTTGACTTACATGCATGTATCGCATGAACAATTAACAGAGTCAGATCTGAATATTAAAACCTAGGTTATCACTTCTTCAGGATGAAACTAGTCAAGGCCTATTAGATGGGCGTCTTTGGCTGCTTAGAAAATATCATTGTTAGCCTCGTATATACCCAATACCAATTCAGGAACTGAAGAAATATGCAAATTAATATCATACCACTGTCACAAAATAAATAAAATCAATCAATCAATCAACAAATAATAAGCAAGTAAAGTATGCATATCGTTAACATATGATTCCGTTCGGTAGGATTAAATAGTGGTCACGATATCTAAGGACTTTAGGTGGAAATATTGAAGTCACTTGACTTACTATTGGACTTTTCTATGATCAATTCAATATTATTGAGTAAAAATGTGAAACAAGGTAGATTCTGTTACGAATAATTTAATATTATTTGATGAAAATGCGAAATGGATATTACTACAAATACTCCTATTACGTGGTGAAATAAGCATAGATATTGCTACGATCACTAATATTACGTGGTGAAATAAAGTAGACTTTGCTACGATTATTAACATGACTTGATGAAATACGTAAAGCTTTGCTGCCATCATGAATACTATTCCATGTTGAAATAAATCAGACTTTGCTACGATTATTAATATGACTTGATGAAATACGTAAAGCTTTGCCATCATGAATATTATTCCTTGTTGAAAGGAAAAATGTGTGTATAAGCTGTTAATGTGTTAAGCCATCATTATGATCATCGTCGGATTGCTAAAATCAGTACTATAATTAATTGAAGTATAGCCAATTCTATGATGTCATGGACTACTGGAAATTCACACCATCAGCCCAGAGGGTAATCTACTGTGTAACAATATATAGTATGATTTGAAATGATACTAAGATAGACACTGCTGTTGTACCTCGATCTATTTATTAAGGTTAATCGAGACTAGAGAGTATAAATTAGTTACAAATAAGAACAGTTCACACTCGTCCATAGCTAGTAGGGGGTAAAAGCTAAAATGTCAGAAAAAATGATCATTATAATCACAACAATAACGAATAATTTGAAGAGACAGTAAAGGCAGCACTATTGACTAGTACCTAGCTCATGGTCGTTTACTAGATGAGTTATTAGAGCAAAGTGGTTGATTATGCCAATAATTCTGTATTACTAAACTATTCAATTCGAACGTTATCATAAAGAAAGCGCCATAGGGGAATAGCAACTCATATAGTAAATCTTTTTCGTTGTCAGTCATGGTTATTATGGTAGAGTAAGCAAGAACAAAACTAGATGCATAAATAATGAAGTGATTGATTTCTGAGAAACGGAGAATGGATAGCACTACCTTTGCATACTTTCCTTTTAAAATAATACTCGATTTTACAACTTTCTTCTACATGTATGAGAGAACTATTTGATCAAAACATGACCTAAGCACATAATTCGATAGCCTCAACGGGTGTCTTTTTAAACTCTCGCTATCACGCTGATTGATATTCGCATGCAGTATGAGTACGTATGGTGCTTGCACAAAATAAAAAGTGAAAAGGGAAGCGATGCTAATGTTATTAATAAATAAGTCAATGATATTACTATTCGCTTCAAGTAGGAACATCCTTTGCTGTGTGCATTGAATATAGTTGCCATTCCATTGCTCGATCGTAATGTCAATTGCTCGAAAGTGTATAATCTAATTGTACAGCAACATTTACTTACAATGGCAATAGCTTCAGTTTTAAGCTTGGTCCAAGGTATCTACAATTAGATTGAGAAGAAGATTGATATAATGACACAGTTTATGGATAAAATTCAAGTTATAAACTACAATAACAAATGATATACTCTATAAGAAACGGTCAAGTTCGAGTTGGAAAAGGTTAGTATCCTGTTGAGGTGAACTAGAATAGACTATGCAATCCAATCGACGGTAAGTCAACAGATAGAATGGTCTTCTAATTGTAAAATGATGCATTACATAGAAAGGAATAATCTATTGTATTGCCGTGAAAGAGAATTACGTTGTCAACTAATTGACATTAATCTCAAGTAGGGAAATACGATCATACAAAGACTGAGAGTAAAATTACATTTGGAACGAGCTAGGCATAAAGTTGTATCGAAAGTAATTGATCGTACTGTCATCAAGGGTAGCGAGTAATCGACTGTATTATCAACTAATTGATCTCAAGTAAGGAAATATTACTAATCAAAAATAAAAGTAAAATGACATTTGGAATGATTTGGGTATAAAGTCATTCAGCATAGAAAGGAATAATCTAGCGTCTTGTTGTGAAAGAGTAGCGAGTAACTGATTCCATTCTATCATGATTAACTCATTGATCTCCGGTAAGGAAACAAGACGCAAGGATTAAAAGTAAAATTCTATTTGGAATAAGCTGGGCATAGAGTTATTTAGAAAGGAATAATCTATCGTATTGGCATGAAAGAGTGACGAGTACTCGATTGTATTCTACTGATTCTTCTTGAGACATGATGTAATTAGAATTTAAATGACAGTGTAGATTTTCCCCCAAAAAAGGGTTGTAATAACCTTCCATGATACTCGATTGCAAGTTACTTTCTCGATGCGCAGCCATTGAGGCATATGTAGGACTGAATGGAGGACATTTTCATCCAGCTGTAGATTTAAGAATTCGCCTTCACCTTTAAATAAGCTGAGATTGACATTGTCAGCGGAGAGATTCTTGGTATACCTACAATAGACATGAAATGGATAGATATTCATTTTTCAACGATGGAATAGAAGAAATGATGACATGAACATGATGAAACATGGCCAACTGGAAACGAGCCACACTACGTGTATTGTAGTCATAGTCTTCTCCACAATCTGATCGCGCATAGAAATGGACAACATGTATAATCGAATACTGCCAAGAAAGTTGTCGGAATTGGGTTCAAATTGGTTCAGTAAAATGTCAAAACAGTCCAAGTATTCGGGGTAGCACAATCAAAATAAGGCATGGCTCGACAGGCGCTCTGTAATTAACAGTAAAAACAATAGCTAGTTGTGATCCTAATTTCCCCCTCAAGAGAGTATTTGCAAATTTCAAATTCTTTCCACTCATTCAACTACGAGGAAATTAGCTTATTTTTTGAAGGCTATCTCCAAAGCATGGCCATGCATATTGAATAAGCAAGTAATGTGGCAAAAATGGATAGACAAGCTTTGAAAAGTGAACTCTACAGTATGTGTATGTGTACGAATTGCATAGTCAACATTTGCAACGATTGATGACATTGGCAGCCACTCTATTGCCAACATTATCCCTTCATCTAGCATGACAAACTAACAACAATCTTTTAATATCCAATACCAACGTCTAGAAATGGCCAGAATTCAACTGGTCATGACTAATCATGACCCATTAGCATGCAAAAAGAGATAGATGAGCCAATGTTGTCCATGTTGTTGGAGGTCTACTCTGCCTCCGACAACGCCTCAGATTGTGAAGAAAAGCTTGACATCATCCATTTGAAGAGGAATATTTCCTGCCATTTTCCCACCTACCTGGCCAAATTCTTGATAATTTGAGACTTAATAAGGCTTGCCATGATGAGAATTATCCAAGAGCATGCTGACCTTAAGACTCATCTGCTGTTGTAAAAAAGAAAAACTACTTTTAATTCAATTCTCATCTAAGCAAATAAAAATAAACTGGACAACATCGATCCCAGGACCGCCCGTCTGAGCCCAAGACCTTATGGGTAGTGTACGGTTGACGATGGCGCCACTATACACAACTGTAGTCAAAAGATGCACACCAGTTACTTGATAGCTCATCTCCAGCGGTGTATACGACACTCGACTCTAGTCCACTATAGGATAGCCATCGACTACTACAACAAGACCCAAAACTACCACTGGATCCAGTGAAAGGTCTTTTGTACTATGGTACAATAGGGGCTTTCATGTCCTATCTGATTGTCTGTCTGTAGTAGCCGGCAAATGCAGCCATACTGAATTCCTACGGATGTTCGTAGTTGATCACTAGGCGTGAAGATATCGGCTAACTACTTTGTAAAACTGATATTACCTTTCGCCATGAGTTTGTTACGAACTTTACTGTACGCTGTAGGGCTTGGATTTTACAATTTCTGTGGTTTGCAATCGTCTAACTCAAAATCTGAGCTATTAAAATTGAGCAAAATCTCCCAACATGACACAAGATGTGGTAAACACCGTGTTCAACCTTGAAAGTATCCTTTATTAATGGAACGCTTGACAAGGGAAGAAATCCACTTTTCTTCCTTCATATGAACAGTCGAAAGTGGCTAAGATAAACCGGATAAATCGGCTTGGTCTCCACCATAACATTGCCTTATTATCGAATAACTATATTAAGACATACGCAAAAATATCATCTTATATGGTTGCCTACTACGGCCTTAGATCAACATAGTGCGCATAGTACAAGTACAGTACATTGTTTCATCATCAGCTGAATTTATTCCAAAATTTCCAAATTATTCCGTAACATTAGTATACAAAGAAATATCCAAAAATATTTGGCAATTTGCCAACGTCTGTCATTTAAATGGCGCTTTAAATATCAAATGACTTTCCACACACCCTGTACAGTACAGTGCTTCATCATCAGCAATCATGATATTAACTTATATGCATAGTGGACTATATGTAAATCTCGAACGTGACACAAGATCAGGTAAACACCGTGTTTAATCTTAAAAGTATCCTTCATGAATAGAACGCTTGACAAGAGAAGAAATCCACTTTTCTTCCTTCATAATAACAGTCGAAAATGGCTAAGATAAACCGGATAATCGACTTGGTCTCCACGATAAAAATTGCATATTATCTTATAGTTATATTAAGACATTACACAAAAATATCATCTTATATAGTTGTCTACTACGGCCTTAGATGAACATAGTACGAACAGTAGAAGTACAGTACACCGTTTTATCATCAGCAATCATAAAATTACCTTATAAGCATAGTAGACTATCCTACTTCTTAAAGCTACCGTACTTCAATTACTACTGTAATTAGCTGAAACTACTACATACTGTACACATAAAAGTGCTTGATAGTACTTTTTAAGCATTACTGTAATGGTTTATAATTTACAGTGAGCACCGAACTAGTGACTTCATTTTTGAAAGCGATTATATGCAGTCATATGGCATGAAGCCATGGACTACCAGATACTATGCTTAGCCATGAAAGTCGTCCAAGGCGCTTAGTTCATATAATTGTACTATGAGTATACCGTACAGTGTGAAATTATTCTTTGACAAATTATTAAAACGCTTTATACCACAGTTTCTGCTGTTGATCTAGAGGGGGTTAGTCTTTGATTAGAATAGTTGCATATTCAATACATATTTCGGATAAATTTTCGCTCAAGGTTGAATTTCATATATACGAAATTGGACAATGCTCGCAGCAATGTTCAAATCTTGCCAAATTGATTCGGTTCATTGATATCATTCTAGTGTATGTAGTAGAAGGAGGCGAATTCAACGATAAAAACGGCATTTTCCACTGTATAGGACGATATCAATAAGGCCTATAAGGGGATGTACTCAATCTAAATTTAGAAACGAGGAAAAATTGAACTAATACACCAAACTAGACACTACCAGTTTATAGTACTCTCAGGTTAGTCCTCCCTGACGTCGGTCAACACTGCAACTCTAATTATTGACAATCTCTTATCGTCAGGAGGAATAGTAACACCACTAGTCTTTCTCAGACAAAACTAAACCCAAACTTTATTGAAAGTCAATTTCATAGTTATAAATCGGCATAAATATAAACTGTAACGATCAATTTGTAGATAATAATAAAGTTAGATTAATAGCTCGTAGCTAAAGTCAATAAGGTCTGAATAATTGTTCTCATCATGTGATTATCAACATCACTGCCATTTATGTACACTGTGAAGTAATGCAATCAATTGTATATATATATCTAATTGTAACTGTTCAACTTTAACCTTATGTTTACCGTCTATAGTCTTTCGATACATCTCCCGTTTGATTAGGTGAATATGCTTTAAATGTGCAGTTGATATTCAAAGTTCATAAACTTCATATCTATAACTTACGGACAAACGGTGCTATCAATATACGGTAACAGGGTATATACACTGATGAAGAGCACTCTAATGTTCCATGAAAATTAATTTCTTGCTGTCTGTACTAGTTCAGTAGAATTGTACTTTTTTTCAATAAAAATTGACTGATATGAGTTATAACAATAACTTTACGTAAAGTCTACTTTATCTACAGGTTGCAGCGTGCATAAGATGCACTTGTAAATCTGATAAAACCCACAGAATTTACTATTTATAACTTATCATCGCTACTCTTGACATGCCTACATTCGTCAAAACATTAATTAATCAGCGTTAAATTTTCAAGCCTTTAAGAAAGAGTAATGAGAAATTGCGCATCGGTATCCAAATTTTTAAGTTATACTTAAAAAAAAGCCAATTACAATACGAGACATTACAAAAGTCCTAATACAGGATACGGTGAATGCTGTGCATGAATAAATATAGCATGCAGCGGTAGCAAACGCTCGTTAGACAAGCATTACAAATCGATTTGAATTAAACAAAGTACTGTGCTAATACCGTCTGAATACATCGCAACTATAGCTCCTATACAATCCAACGAGAGTAAATAGTACCGTACTAATAGAGTGTTTAGCATATTGTGATAACTACTGCACTTAACTAATACGCCATTAACGACATACACTATACTAGATACGTGTGTAGAATATTACTTCAACAAGACTCTTTTTATACATACTGCACTAATCTAACTGCTCGACGCTTTGATAGTGGTTCACTCGATACTTCAACAACAGTAAATTAATATTCAGCAAAGTTTTAGACTTTGCTCTTCCCTTTCATTTACCGTTACAAGTACAAGTATAATAAAATTAGGTCTAACAGGAAACTGATATATTGGATAGATCATATCTGTATTAGAAAGTAAAAGTGGATTTTGCTGTATACGAATGATAGCTCTTGCATAGTCTACTCCAATCACGTAAGCTAACATCTCCATTTCTTACATTAATATTACGATGCGTCTCTTCGGTATATCGGTCCAATAGCAGTCACTTCATTCCTAGTACGATACACCCTCGAGATAAGTCAAATACTGTAGCAATGCCATAATCACTTGCTTTACAACATCAGTAATATTATGCACCCAGTCGCAGTGACCGATAGAATTATGCTTGTAATTTAAGGGAAATTATAGCTTTCCAATAGTAATTATAAAATAACGCGTAACAACCCCACCAGATATTCAGTATAGTGCATACGAGGATTAAATACAAGGAATAATATTCCTACGTACTTTTATCACTTTCATTAGTTATAAATTAATAGACTAAACCAATGCCAAAGTTTAATAAGAGCAATGTAAATGTAGTAAAACCCAAACTGTACAACACTTATTACAACTAATTAATAAGTTAATAAGTACATTAGTAGGTTTGGTACAATGTTGTTTGCTTGTACCAATTTTTAAAGATAGCCAACTATTTACGGCAATGTAAAATTAAAAGTATGTAGCGAAATACCTAAGGAATCGATTAGTAGAAAATCTATTTAACGATAATAATACAGCATTATAGTTAGGATAACGTAACATCATGATCATACAGTAGACTCGTGTAAGAATATTAGCCACAAGAATAATGTTAACGATATTGCAATGTATTGATATAACAATAATGACAATAATAACGATAGTGATAACAATAATAATAATATTAATAATAATAATAACAATAACAATATTAATAATAATAATAATAGTAACAATAATATTAATAACGTTAACAATAATAATAATTATAGTAACAATAAGAATTATTACCTCCGAAGATGAGAATAATTAATTGAACATTACTGCTTACTGTAGTTTATCGTAATATATACTTTCTTTCTACAGTATAGGAATCGATTCTTGTTTAAATGAGCACAACAGACATACTATAGTAATAATCATAGGTACATCGTACTACACTTAACAATGGATGTGTAAAATCTAGCTAATCGCATCCAAATTTGAATCATCTATTTTCCATACAATACAAAGGTAATATTACCAATACGAAATCTTTTTAAAAACGGTCAAATACTTTGTTCCTTTTTCCTAGACTGTTCTCCATGTCTAAATTTATAGTCATAGTTCTCCTGTTGCAATTGTGTATATAAGGTAACAAATACCATTGCATATACAAACTAACAATGGTATTTTTATCATGCAAGTAAAATATTGTACAAAAACTAGATAACTATTAAGAAATAATACATTTTATAAATTAAACACAGTACATAAATTTGTTCACTTAAAGAAAGTTATTAGATGATCATTAGCTTTATCATTATACAATTAATACATACTCGTAAGACATGCATTCTGATGTAACAAAGAATAATATAACATAAATAGCAGTAGTACTTCTATAAGGCTATTAACAATTCTTCCAATGTATTTTATGAAATTATGCCTATAATTAATAAAACTCGCGTCTGGTTGTACGACTTATATTTCCAAATTGATCAGATCTTATACCAGCCATAATTTTCTTCGTCATTTACAAGTAGAACAATATCGATATATTGTCATTAAAATGAATTCTTGAAATAAGAATTCTTTCAGTGCTGACTTCTTAAACAAACAGGAGTATATAGTTCCTAACTGCATTCTTCATCTAGAAAGTTATACAGTCAAATAATAGCATATTTTTAAAGCAATCCAATAATATAGGCAGTTAACTAGCATATATTAAATCACCCATCCAAATACAAATATTATAATTCTAGCACATTTTTTTATACATTGGACAATATACATTTTCAGATATAGAGAAATCATCAACATATAAACTTACCTTTGGCTTGATTACTAATTTCACCATTTTTCAAAAGTGGCATAGCATTGGTAAACTCTGACGTATTTGGATTTATGGCAGAAGTAAATCCTGGATTATAAAATTGAGGGTTATGATATTGTTGTTGCTGTTTAAGATTATGTGCACCGTCTACGGATTGATGTTGAAAATAAGCAGGATAATGATGCTGCATAACAGGCTGTGAATGAGTCATAGGACCAGTACCATCGTATGGTTCTTTACTAGTATTGTATGATGGTTGCCAATTAAGATCCGGATAAAATTGCTTAGATAATGTTCCTTGATTATATTGTTGTGCGTTACCATAATTAGGAAAATATTCATTCGGCGATAAATGACCATTTGCGCTTTGTATTACTGGTTCAACAGAACTTCCTCGTTCAATATTTAACGAATTACTATTACCACTATCAGTACTCGCCGGATAAGATGAAGCATTAATTACAGATCCTTGCTTACTCTGATTACTTACAGAATTAGCGTATTCGTTAGTTGGTACATGTCCCTTCATAGGATTATAGCTATTTGACTGCTGCGCTATATTAGATGCATGATCGACTCCACCCGTTCCAGTATAAGGCATTGGAAGGTTTAGGCGAGCAGCATTTTGAGCTACTTCACGGTTTCCTGCTGATAATCGATTCGGTTGATTGCTATTAGATGTATTAGAGACATCTTGACTTGCTTTCGAATTAACGGTCAAATCTCCTCCGGTATTTGTCAAATTAGCATGATTATTAGGAAGTTGAGACATTTTAGAAGGAAAAAATTGCTGATGCGGCTGCTGAATCATCGAAGCTGATGGAAGATGAGGTGATGAATGAGGCAAATGATTGTTATATGGTGGAGTCAGAGTATGTGCTTGTTGTTGAGGAGTTGAAGGAAAGACATGCCTTGGTTGTGATAAAAGTTGCGCTTGCTGCGTCCCAAATTCTAATAATTGTTGCAAACGGCCTTTGTTATTACCCTGCATTTGCCTCATACCACTAGTGGCACTAGATTCTCCATGATTTACCATCATTGGATTATTCCACGCTGGTATATTGGTATAATTAGGTTGCTGATTATTATTACCAATTGATTTGTGCATGTGATTGTCAACTACTGGTTGTCCGGTAGGATAATAATGAGGAAATGGATGACCGTGAACAGAATTTTGATTAATAGGGGATTGACCAGTATGAATAAAAGGCGCATATTGCGGATGGTGTACATAGTTAGGGTAAGGATAAGGTGCCACATTCGACATAACCACATTGTTAGGATGACCATTCCAGTTATTCTGTACACCTGTAAAAGTACCACCGTTTGATATAGGTGGATGTGGGATATTTCCTCTAGCTCTTTTAGGAGCAGAATCGTTCTCATTTTCGTCCTCCTCTATTTCACTGGATTCACTAGATACCTCGCTTTCTATCTTATACTCTTCATCGCTTGTTTTGTCATCATCTAATAGATGTTTCTGTACACTCTTATTGAACATGGCTTCAAGTTTATGAGCCATTTCAGTATAACCTAAAATGCAGCGATAACATTGTAATAATAGATATTAAGTACAATATGTTATACAAGCCTTAACTGATAAAAAACGTTATAAGGTAGATAAGCATACAGTTATCTTCTCCGTTATATTCTATACAGTTGGCAAATATTAAGCGCATATCACTGATAAACTATAATAGAAAATATAGTTAAGACATAACGGTTAGTATCTTTATCACAAAAAATACTAATAAAATAAAATTAATAGTAATTCACACAAAATTCTGAACACGGTAATTATATTTAAAGTACAATTGCAAAGATATTTTTTACCTCTTCAGATTTTTTATATGTTCGTTTCTCTAACTTTTTCTCGATAGTTTCAATATCCATTGGTTGCTAAAGCATATCATTAATTATAATTTCCAATTATTAATGCTAACAAATTATTACGAAAATACTAATTTCGTCCTCAATATCAATAATTGTACACATATTGACATATTGATAAAGGGTCAATTTCATCCCAAATATTTTTAAGACAATTAAAAAAATATCCAACCTCGATAACTTCAAAATACCCCGGAGCAATATCTTCCGTAACTGGTTCCATAAAGGGCCAAGAATCTTCATGCTTTTTAAACACTTCAATTACTACAAATGCGAGGTGTTATAGCATACATATAGTAGATTAATTTAAGAGTACAGTACAACGTTGGATCAAAAACATGAAGTAAAAAAACAACATGTTACAATTATCCTACAACCAACTAATACTGACAGGCTATCAATACATATAACTCGTGTTAAATACTTTTGTGCATGCCAATATATAAATCTTCATATTCGTCCTCGACTGATTCTTCTTCGCTTTCATTATAGGTTTTACCATCATTTTTGCTTTGAAGGTATTCTGGTAGTGATCCTAGACCACTTTGTTGCCACATAATTCGTTCATGTCTGAGTTTAACTCGCTCAGCGCGATCTTGTCTTTCTATAAATTTAATTTAGTACAAGTAAAAGTAAACTTTAACTTAGCAATAAACAATGCGGACTTTGCAGTCCATCTAAAAAGTAATTTATTGATAATTTCGATTGTGATATAAAAGAAAATGAACCAGCTTTAGCGAAGAATCAACTTCTAATTAAGCCTTTAATTACATTATATTTACCCTTATCTCTTCTAGCTTTAGCAGCCTTTTGCTCTTCTCTTTCTTTTTGCCTTCTTTCCTTCTCTCTTTCCATTCTAATCTGCGCTAATTCTTCAGCTTTTTTGCTTTCATCTTCATCTTCGTCTTCCTCCTAGACATTATATTTAAAAATTGACGTTAATAAATATATCTGAAATAGATAACAAAATTCTTAGTCCACTTTTTATTAACATTAATAATCCATGGAAGTCTAAATAAAAGTAATCTACTGACAGAGTCTTCGCCTTCATTTCTTCGCGCCACCTTAGAAGCAATTCTATTAGAAGTCCTTCTTGGCATTAATTCTAGCATTAACTTTTTATGAGCCGCTTTTTCCTAAGTTGTTAAAAAATATCAATTTATTCCTATAATTATTAGTATTAAATAACCAAATGCAAACGAAGATATTTAAAAATAAATATCATTCTTCAACATATTATTAATGTTACAATACTATCAAAACTTTGATTATAATCTTAAGAAATAATTTTTAAGTTTTTACTGTCAATACTGTATACGCTTTAGTATTATTAATACGCACCCTATGAATAATCATAGAAGGAATTTCTGGTACGAAATCTGTTGACAATGTTGCGTAAAGATACTTTTCATTTTTGTCGGTACTTTGCCGAAAAGATTTTGCTAACTTTGACCATTCCGCAGCAGTAGCACAGACTACTGACCATAATGTACTTTCCTTGTTATTAACCATTCCATTTTGAATTTCTTGATTACTTTTAATGATAATAATTCGATTAAATTACTACTTCTAGATTCATATATAATACGTTCCTTCTATAATATTTTAACATCTAGTATACTGCTCTAACGAAGATATACAATGAATTTAAATACAATAAACTCAGGTTAATCTGAGATTTAATTAATTTACTTTGTATCATATAAAGGAGAGCAAAATATGTACTTACTTATTATTTTTTGTTGGCCTACCACGACCTTTCTTTTTAATCTTATTGTTCGCTTTCGAAGATCTCTTTCTATTATTGCTACTATTATTTACTGCTTCTTTATATAACCTTGTCCCGAAAAAATACCAATACTTATTTCCATGCCGATCAACTCCAACAGGTTCTAAACGTGTAGCGTCTGCATCGATTGCCTATTGTGGTGAACAAATAAATTAGTAAGCTTAAATCGTTATCAAGCACAATATACTAATCAATATGATTAATTATATATTGCAGTTTGAATATATAATTTACATACCCTAACAGTTTCGTCAAAACTGTCTATTGACCAATCACATAACTTATGCAAGATGTTGATTCTTTCGAGGGGTGTTAATTGGCTATAGTAAGACAGGGCCAGAGAATTATCAAATAATTAAATAAGAGTTATAAAATAAAATGATCACAAATGATAATATGGCTCGTATACTGTTACGATAGCTATTATTTATATGAATTGAGAAATAAAACGACGTGAAAACTAATCTTGAATGATATTTGATATGAGAACAAATGCCAATATATGTAATCTATCATTTAGTAACGTATTTATTTGCTTCAAATTCATTCTATTCTATACTAACTAGCGATTACTACAGTAAGAATTATTGTACTACCCTACATAATCGTTGGTAAGAGCAAATACCATAATCTTACCCGAATTGTCTGTCACATAAAGGATGTGGATGATTCTCCTCCACTTCATACCTGACCGTTAATATATCCAACAGATAGGTCGAAAACTCGTCATCGCTATCAGTGTAAAGGAATAAAGAAATCCGATTTACATCTTCTTTTCCTTGCATATAGATATCATTGTTGAATCCAGCAACATTATCACATGCCATAGTAATTTAACGATTAATAAATGACTATATTCTGCTACTGTCATAAATAGATACATTGCACATTCTCAGGAAATACTGCAAACAGAATAATTAATTCAAAAAAATTAAAATACGACACTATTTCATACAGGACTAAAAAAGTGATGACGCATCATAATTCAACTTAAAAGTAAAAATCAAACCAAAATCGAAGAGAGATAGCTGTATGTTTCCTAAAGTAGTAACCGGGGCATCCCATGCACATTGGAATAGATATTAATAGTAAGTGTATAGTATCATACTGTAATTAGACGGTATAAGTTAATCTGCATATACTCGCACCTGAACGTCAGATCTTATAACGAATTATTTTTAACCTTTCTATCCCATTGAACAACTAGTCCAAAATGAAATTCCCCGTGCAGGTGTAATGTACCGAATAATTCAGATCTTGAATTAATTATCTATCGCGACATACTCATATAATAGCTATTATGTTATAAGGGCTTTATTACAGTATTTTATCAATATGATAAACACGTAATCACAAAGAATTGCCTTGATTGAATTATTAACGTGTTTAGCAAATCAGCTAGTACATGGCAATAGTTAGTGCTGATATATTATAAATTTCCAAATGATATTAAAAAGAATAACATTTAGCATATTGTTTTCCAAACTGTAAAATTTACAATCGAAAAAGCAGGGATTAATATGGTAAAGCTGGCGAGCAGAATAGTTTAAATGGGATACAATTTTCTCCTACCAAAATTATTTCTATAAAGGAACTGATGTAGTTGCCGTAGAAAAACCAAAAATACTGTGCAAGCTTGTTGATGATAGTATCAACAGGTATAAACAGTAAAAGAAAGGGCAGATTAACTTTAATTTATACGCAGTCAATTAATTATACTGTATGCTGTACTAGTACAGTATATCTGTTAAAGTAAAGTTCTACTAAAGATGTACCTTGGTTTAATTTTAGTAAAACAGATATCGTAAAAACATTTTTGAAATTAATTTAATATACTTATCAAACTGAAGAGTAGCAAGTGGTATGATTTAATCTGTCTACTGTATCTAGCATTTATAAAAATACCATTTCAATGTAACAAACAAGCTCACAGCATGTACGTACTATACACTACTGCAAATACCCTGTATTTGATTGTCGAAGCTAGTAAACATTAGAATACCGCTTAGGCTGTGAATGGCACGTACTTATTGTACGTACTGTATGTCGGCGAAGATTTCAAAACGTCATTCAAGAAAGATGTACGAGTGCGATCACGAAATCGGTATACTTGTAGAACGGACGATTTACCCCTTATCCTATTTCACACTAACTAAAAATATTGTTAGCCACCAGTCGGTCACCAATATTACCGTGTATAATATAACTATATACGTGTATATTCTGTAATACTGTACTAATACTGTGCAGAGTAAATATGAAAGTGGATTAGCGATCCCATTATAGTATAACACAATCCTTGCAGGACACGCCAATTATATCTGCCGGTAGGGATCACTAAAAACGAAACAGCAATACACTCTTTCTTTTTTTTTAAGTAGTCCGTAGTCACTGGTATACTATCGGCATATCATAGCATTTGAGATACAGGAAAACAATAGGATGCAATTTATCAGATATGCGATAATATAATGGTAGTTTTTTCTTAATTAATTTACACGATAAATTTCATACTGGTAATCTAGGAAAGCTGTGCTTGCGTACTTATACGAGTATATTGTATGCCGCAACATACGTGTATGACTATAGATCACTACTAGTTGTACAGTTCTCATGGTTAACTCTGTTGTTTGCCTTGCAATAATACGTACGGTGGTTTCAATGATCTACAGCAATAACTTGTAGAGATAGCAAATGCTGCTTTAAATTAAATTGTACTAGTTTTTATATATCTACAGTACAACAACGACCATAAAAACGTATCTTAGCTACGAGATTATAAAGTGAAATATTTTATTTGCCAACGAAGTGTCCTATACCTATAAGTGAGACCAAAGGAATGAAGTATGGTATAACGCTACTACATTTAAGAACGGATATTTCTGCACTATTTAATTTATACTCGACAATTGTAGAATTATTGTTAACTATTTTGTTCACTTGATGTTGTTTCATATCAGGTTAATTCTATTACAGGTTATTTTGATATTACATATTAAAATAGTATGAACGTTACAAAGTATGACTACAATGGTTATTAAAAGGATGAAGGAAGTAAGCGATTTATTGTACAAGATTTTATGTCGAGAAATCAGTATATTTTCCCCTTATATCATTCATTACTGAAGGCTGTGATTAATTATGATATCACCACAACTAACCAATAATTATTTGTAATATGTTCATATATTATTTTTTTTTATCAACTCAAGGAAAAAATCATCGATCTGATAAGCATACAGTAACCATCAACTACTTTTTCAGATTTCACAATGGCATCACTTCGCCTGGTATACTGTACAAGGCGCACGTGTCCAACTTCAATGGCAAGAAGTAAACAGTAACGGTGTACGCTTTTGTCAAGTAGTACTGTACAACAAGCAACACATTTTTTATTTTCTACTAGAGTCGATATAACACTGCTGTACATTAGTGAATTATCATGTGTAACAAGACATTTTAAGACGCAAAACTGTAATGCTATAAATGTATAACAAAAATGTATCTTTTTAATAAACTAAGCTAAATTAGACTTGTTTTGGCGTCGTTTCGAATAGCGCTAATCTACGGGGATAGTACTATTCTGCACTTTACAATATTCTAAGTGATTGATTAAATGATTATAATTATTTTTAAAAAGAAAATGGGAGATTAAGAAATTTAGGTTGATAATGAATGGGAAACCCATTTTACGCTTTCAAGATTTAGATGCACAGTATAGCGCTATCGTGGCCAATCTGGCTCTTGTGGGATAATAAAACGAACAACTTCATTACCTACTATTCCAGTACACATGTATCTTACTACCGTATAACTTGCATTCGTCACTTACAAATAATAATGATAAAATAAAATAAAATAAATAATAATGGTTATTGGTTTATACGTAGGTATAGTATATCATACTGGATGCACAACGCTAGTTAGTGCGACTAATATCAGAACTGTTTTCTAAATTATCCTCATTTGTGGGTTCCTATCAATACAAAACACGTTCAAAATCTCTCCTTAAGTACTGTACTGTTATGTTTTATTACTGTATGTAGAGTGATTCAAAATATAATCTTCTCAGTAAGATTTAAATAGTTACCACTTCTTTTACTCTAATCCATTAGCATGCGCGCAACATGGCACTGTAATCATCACCCACGCTCAATGTTTTGTATAAGAAAAGAGATCGGTATAACTTAAGGGTATACGCGTATACAGCATATATATATATCAAACTTGCTAACTATTTTCAAAATAATACAACAATAATGAAAGAGAAAATCAAATTCTTACATCATTTTCAAGGATGCTATCATTTACAAGAAAATTAACGAGACCGCTTAAATGTTTGAACGTTTAAAACTAGACGCTTACTGTATGAAACAAAGTAAAAGTGAAACAAAAGATTGAGTCATGAATGAAAAAAAATTTAAGTAAAAGTAGAAAAAATAACAACTGCAATCGGTGTGAAGATAAATTGTCTGCTTCAAAACGTAGATGAACGATTAGTTATAGTAGCTTCGTAATGGAAAATGACGTGACATCTTGGTAGAAATACCGAAAAATATCTGCATCCTTTTTTTAACACTCTATTAACCCTTGCAAAAATATTTGTTACGGATATCCTCTGACAAATGACGTGCAAGTTGATCAAATATCGAAATGGCCATTGCTATATCTGACTGAGTTACAGTTTCAATCAAATTATGTGCGCTACCATAAAGGTATTTTCCATCTTGTACTTTATAGAATAGTACTTTATGCCGTTATCGTAGGATAAAGTAGACTCAAAAACTAGCGCGTACATAGACTAGTAGCTTTTTTTCCAATCTCTAAATCATAGAAAGCTATCGTTTATGATTGATTAAGCGCGCTTAACGCCTATTTTCGTGGTGAATTTGGATATTTTGGGCATTTGATGTACTTTTCGTCTCATGGATATCATGTTTAGTAATTGCTAAAAATTGTGTACAGTGTCCTTACCTCACGTTCTTGCCGTAAATAGCCGAAAGTAGTCTGATGCACAATTCATGGACTAGAGATTGTTGTTGCTCGTCTTCCTTGTCTCTGTCTCGTAAAAGATCATCTTCTAAATCCTAATGATGGATACGAAAATGGATTATGGATTAGATTAAAAGGATCGTAATATGTAAATTGAAGTTTAAAATGCATTTAAACATTTTAAGTCAACAGTGTCATTTAAGAAAGCGTTGGACATTGTTAGGAAAATTATGTAAAGGGTTATAACATCGCCATTAAAACGGCAACTAATGTGCATCGTTTTAGTTCATTTAAACGATTTTCTACGATGTCCATTTCACGACTAATACGCGTAAAGGGAAAAAAAAAAATATATAAGGGATCAACTCGATATAAGTAGTACGCGTAACTTCTTGTCAATGGCATGGTAAAATGCATCCTTTATTCTTAATGTAATGAAATGGGATCAGGTTTGTAAAATTCTTGCATGCTGTCAGTATCCAACATTCAATAGAAGGATGTATCCTTCTACTCTATACGGTTAGCGTTGGGATGATAATGACATTCATTTTTTAAATTATTACAACTTGATGAAGCGATAATTACTGAAACGACATCATAGGTTGAGAAATACGAGAGTACGTTGTTGTAGGCAAAAAGTATACGGATATGGAATGAATCTTAACGCCAATACAGTACAAAGCATAAAATGGAACTATCAACCATGTCGAATGAGTCGACGGCAATGTAGATACTGTACGCATCCAGCGCTAGTGTGAATGAGTTGGTAGAAAAAAATGTCTTGTTCATAGAATGATCGATAGTTGATTACCAATATCAGATAATCCCCTCGAAT